GCGCACTATCCCCTCAGTGACCGGCCTCCGGGGCGCACTATCCCCTCAGTGACCGGCCTCCGGGGCGCACTATCCCCTCAGTGACCGGCCTCCGGTGCGCACTATCCCCTCAGTGACCGGCCTCCGGTGCGCACTATCCCCTCAGTGACCGGCCTCCGGTGCGCACTATCCCCTCAGTGACCGGCCTCCGGTGCGCACTATCCCCTCAGTGACCGGCCTCCGGTGCGCACTATCCCCTCAGTGACCGGCCTCCGGTGCGCACTATCCCCTCAGTGACCGGCCTCCGGTGCGCACTATCCCCTCAGTGATCTAGGGTTAAAAAGCCGCCAGAGGTTAAAGTTGGGACCTCATAGGATGTAGGGTAAGTGTGCAGCGCTATCTAACCTCCCCAGTGCAAAGCTACAACATTGTGAAAATATTCCAACATGTGACATAGGCTAAAGTGGTCCATGTGTCTATGGAATAAATATTGTGTCACAAAAGCATTAACGTGAATGTTGCTAAAAGGTGCACTTGAATAAACCAATTAATAAGAAAAACAAAATGAATAGATCACATCTATAAGTGACAACTGAAAGGTGGCTGGAAAAATGCCGCAAAGGCAGTGATGTGCATTTATTGCAAAGTGCACTTCTATAGGTAGATAAGTGTAACATAGAAAAAACGCAATTTAAAACTTGCAACTAAAAAATATTTTCTCTCAAGTGCAAACAAAGAATCAAATCCATCGAAACAGTGACAAGAAAAATAGAAAAGAAGAAACTTTCCGTGAGATTGCACTCCACCTGTTTGGGGCTGTGCACTCACCCCAAATGTCCTGCTAATGATGAATAGCTATCCTGATGGTCTAAATCAGACTGCAATGATGTAACAATGATGTAACTTGTACTGCCTTAGGTGAAGACTTTTTAATTACGTCTTGCTTGCCCCCTCTTATACGCTTTTCTACTATACAGACAAACTTTGTGTTCTATACAATACTGTATGCAGATTACTTTCTATGTAACAAGGTCTATTGTCAGTCTGTGCAGGTATAGTTGTCTTTTGTATTCATACCTGTTATGTTACTGACAGAACTTTCATTATAATCCGCCCCCCAGTGTGGGCGCTGAAGGTCGCCTAGAAGCTCTCAGCAGTAATTCGTACAGTCCAAACACCAACTTTCTTCAAGCCACGCATGCGCAGGAGGCAGCCGAAGAAAAATACTGCGCATGCGTCAAATGTATCCACCTGCGTGCACACAAGTGGTTTTCTGCATACTTTGGTCTTCAACAATATGGCCACACTAGCTGTCCATGTACGGCGGCCATTTTTGGTGAGACTGCAAGTACATAGCTGAGGACGAGAGCCACTGCCTGCATGTGGCTTCTGATAGTGGGGAAAAGGTTTATACTAAGGACTGTACTCTTTTGCAAGTAATGCTGCTCAATATTTCCTTTGATCAGTGGAAGAAAGATGTCTTTGTCTTCTCCCACAAACGTCTGCAGCTGTCAGTTATTACTGCAGGACGTCTGCCTGTGCTGACCTTCTTTCTGTGTGGTATGAAACTTGCTGCCTTTAAATAACTGCTTCACTCTGTGGTGGGTTTGGGCTGCTGTACATTGTAATGTATGTTTACATACACCAGACTAAGGTTGCCAGATTATTAAAATAAAATCCAGGGACACCACAGTGAGCACGCCTACTGTTAACTGCACCCCAAAACATGCCACCATTTGCAGCTACAATTTGAACATGCTCATAAACAAATGGTCACAGATTTTTGGAACAATTACAGTTTATGGCACATAAGACCCCCGTCATTTCCTTATTTTTTTTTTTTACCTCCCCTGGACAAAAGTAGTGCTCCATATAAATCAGACTGGATGTTGCCTCCAAGAGCACATTCTAGTATTAATTTTTACCAAAATAATTTCAACCTGTAATGGGAGGTAGCGCTTGTCCAGAAGGGCATAATTCCAGAAAGTCCAAGCAGGACTGTCCCTACAATGAAGTAGCCCAAGGCCTGTCTGTGGGTCATATGGAGGGGGGGAAGGACAAGCAGAGCGGTGTGTACACAATGTGCCTGCCACCCCCTTTTCGGCCAGAGCCTCCCAGGTTGCTTAGAGCCAGACGAGGAGATGTGTAAAGGCCATACGCATTTCCCCGCCCAGCTCTTACGCTATGCCCGGTGTCCCGCTTAGCTCCTGGTAACCGGTGATATCTGGCCACACACCCCTACAGCGCCTCAGGTACTTCCTTATGGCATATACCACCAGCAAAAAGTCTAGGTATGCCTCTGAGCCCAAGGCAATATGATTTCTAAATATGACCTTGACCAAGCCTTGTTTTTTTCTCAGATTGCGCCAGGCTATTTCAGTAACTGTGTTATGGCTTCTAAACATTACATTTATGCACAATACTTATAGACACAGATATGAATGAGGGCTTGTTTTAACCTCTTGCCGTCCGCCCGTAGTAAAAAAACGTACGGACGGCACTGCAGCATTGGCGGGTTGCCGTCTCCAGACGGCAATTTTTTTCTGCTCGCGCGCGGGCACGCACGGGCAGAAAAGACCCGACCGTTGCACACACCCGTTACCGGGTGTTTCACATATAGGAGCGGATGTCAACTGGTTAAAGTGCTTTTAATGCTTATTCCGAATATGTAAATCTTTAAGTGTGCATGACCTGGGCACAGGTGTACTTTAAGTTTTAACTTTAAAATATATCTCTGGGTATAAAAAAAGCTACCCTTGCAGTGGGGCTACTCCCCGCACTGCAAGGACTGACATATGTTGTCTGGGGGGGGGGGGATTTTCCAAAGCAGTTTTACTTATGTGATCCCCACTAATGCTGGTTACAAGATTGGCACTTGGAGCCTCTTCTTCCCTCCATTCCAGCAGTCAGGGGGCAGCGGAAGTCATCACATCTAATGCAGAGTCCATAGCCCTACATTAAGGGTGCATTCACACCAGAATAGGAGGCAAAATGGTGAGTAAGCATAGTGCATTGACATCCGATGCGTTCTGTTTTCTCGGGTGGGGGGGGGTTGTTTTTTTATTTTTTTTGGTTTAATTGTTACACTAAGCCATATAAGGTATTGGTTCTGCATTGTATTGACATGCATTAGCAGTTCACACCAGTCTGTTGCGTGTGCTGAGCCCGCTTAACTTTTCTTTAACAGAGGGCAGTGCAACGCACTGGTATGAACTGATCCCATTCACACCCATTCATTTTCAGATGTCCTTGCATTGGCACCCGTTGAAAAAAACTTCCCCTGTAAAGTGCACATTCCCTATCAAAGTGAACAGCCTATCTGCCTATAGTAAATCAACCCCGCTGTCACCGCTATCAGTTCCAATAGCTCTTTTTGCATAGCTTGTTTTTTTGTTCACTATTTGTTAAAACGAAATGATCAAACCTCAGAACTAATGTTTTTTTCTCACTGAAACATGTTTAGATGACACATAACAACTACGCAACGGTTATAATGGGAGAGAAGAACAACTGAATCTAAGCCAAACAATTCTAACCAAGACATGAGTGGTGTCTCCAAGCTGTAAAAATGTATACCAAACAATTGTCATATAATATGTGTTGGAATCTTTAGCAATAAATTGAGTTTTTTCATTTATTATTCATCTATTGTACAGGAGTTAGTGAAATATTTGGACAAATAACAAAGAACAAATATGTTTTGTATTTCTTATGTATTCTTAAAGCGCTGCGCAAACTGTTGGCGTTATATAAATCCTGTATAATAATAATAATAATATAATTCTTATGTCCCTGCCCCAGGGAAGCACTAGGACACAAGGAATCCCATTGTTTTGTATGGCCCCTGTTCAAACCTAAGCATTCTGTCCCTTGTAGCAAAACATCCGTAGCTTGAAAAAGTACATGAGCTTCTTTTCAGGCAGATTTGAGTGTTTTGTTTACAAGGAATTCAATGGAAATGGTTTACAATGCGCATCACAAGTGCTTTTTGAGAAGTTTTTGGAGGTTTTTTTTACGGGTTTTGAGAATGATTTTACAGATGGACCAAGTTGGGCCAAATGGAAAAACATCTGAAGCTGAATACCTGCAAAACACTCCAAACCACTTCAAAAAAACATGTAGACATGCATTAAAATACTTTTACAAAGAAGCCTAAAAACACAGACACCCTGGTGTGAATACAGGGTAAAATCCATTATCCTTGTCACACTCAGCAGGTCACATTAATAAAACTTGGTAAAATACAGAATGCATTTTTAAAAGAGAAGACATTCACATATCATTACTCAGGTACTTAGAAGTTTAAAAAAAGGGTTTTTACTTCTTTTATTTAAGGGTGGTGGTTGGGCTAAGCAAATCAGTACTTAAGAGAAGGGCGCCCACCCTAGTGTAGATTCTTTTTAATATTGTATATTGAGATAAGGGTAAGAAAGTAAGAAATACACTAGGGTGGGCGCCCTTCTCTTTTGTTTTCTCCCACAGTATTGCAGCTTCCCAGGCTGAAGTGGGGCAGCACCCCTAGTAATCCTCACCCGCAACTATCCTTCACTTGTTGGTCAACGTTTGGCGCTTCTGATTTATTTTTTATTGGTTAAATCAGTACTTAAAGCAGAAGTAAAGTTAAAAATATACAAAATTGCAGGGGGGGAGGGGGCGGTAGGGATTTATTTTTTGCAAAAGAGACATGCAAAGAGGATGCATCATCTGTGCGCATACGCAAGAGTTACATCATCAGTGGCCACCCGATGGACGAAGACGACTTCCGAGAAGCATTGGTGGCGGACATGGCGGCAGCAGGGGACAGCGCTGAGGACCGAAGATTGATCCAACAGCGGTGAGGAAGGGCACACTTTTAATCTAAGTGTGCCCAAATGTGCAAGTATGCTCTGCGAAAAAAATTCTAAACAGTTTATTTCCACTTTATTGTGCAGGTGACCAAGTATGCAACTGCTGGCTTATAGCATAGATGCACCCAATGCTAGAGAGCCTTTTGAAACAACTTTTGCACAGCTTTTTCAGGCATTTAAGCCCTTGTCAGCGCAATGTTTGGGGGCTCATTCACACCATCTGAGTTGGGATTGCGCTGGCCATTTTTTTCAGTGCATCCCAAACGCCAGACAAGGCAATTGCCTTGTCATGGATGGTGACAATTCACACCACGTTTTTTCCGTATTGAGTACAAGTACCGATATTTATCTTTTGGTACTCACCGCTACCGAGCACCGTTCCCGGTACTTCCGCTAGCACTAAGCTGGCTTCCCGGCCAATGGCTTCTTGATTGCATGGGAAGCTGGCTCCATGCTGTTTGGCCGGCTCCATGCTGATTGGCAGTACTGACACATTCCATTATCAATGGTAAACTAGATTTGGACACTGTCTGTCCTAACAAAGGTTTACAGATCTCAAGACTTGTGTTCTGCATTGAATGTTAATGAGAGAAAACAGAGTCTGTCCCCACTTGGTCCCCCTCAACATTAATTTTTAAATTGTTCAGAATAGCTTGCAGTATGGCCAAAGGCCTGCTCCAAAGAAACAACTAGGTAAGAAGAAGGGTAAGAAAAGTAAGAAATATTTTTTTTAAATATATTTTTAGGTACGCTGTGTGAATAGAAACACATAACAAACATATAGAGGAGGTTTCTCAAAATTAACTGTGAAAGTTGAAGTACACTTTAAAACAAGATCTCCATTCTTACCTGCTGTGTTCTCTATTCCATCAACAATAGTTTCCTTAGCCTGTCCAAGAGACAAGAGAAAGAAAACATTAATAGATTATGTTGTTTCTATAGAGCGTTAAACATTAAGCAAAAGGGCAGGAACACTTTTTTGGCCCCCAACTTCAAATAATGCCAATGTTCAAATACCTTTTCCCTGTGTGTATACTGATACTATAATAGGCAACTAGGTTCAGACATTAAATGCCCATTCACTGAAGTGCCAATTTGGACAGGATGTCTTAAGGCTTTGCTTTAATGCACGTCCATTAATGCTGGTCAATGTGCTTTGTATTAGGGCAGCCTATTCAAATGAATAGGCTGACAACCCACCAAAGTGCCAACTTAGTGCACCACAGTGCAGATGAATGCGTTACATTTACAGAAGCTGTGTTGCACTGTTCTGCAATGAACCACAGTGGGAAAGTGTGTTTCATTCCTAACTCTTGCCCAAATGGCATCAATAGGAGATGAGAGAAGCATTACACATATCTCAGTCCTGGTTAGGCAAGGAGTGAAGGAGATGCTTGTTGTCTGACACCCTTTGGGAACCAGAAACATAGGGCATTATGAAGAGTGTTGCCCTGTTCTCTCTGACACTAGAAGTAAGCAGTGTTTAAGGTCTATGTCCCAGCATCTGCCCAGCCAATATCTCATGTAAATGGGCCCCTTAATCCCAGTGACCACTTGTACAGCTGCACAGTCTGCACCAATGCTCTGTCCACTCCTGCTTCTATACATAGTTTAAAGAGAAACTCAAGGAATCTAAAAATGTAACTGTGACGACATGGTGATGAGTTTATAAGTTAAATGTGTATTGGTGTTGAGTTATGTTTGAGTGTGTTATGCTGTGTGACTTGGTTATGGAAAGACTATCAGCACCATCCCACGTTATCTCCCATTGTTCTCTGAGGGAGCTCAGAACAATGACATTCTGGCCAGGTTCCTGCTATGGCTGTCTGGAGCTATTCAGCAGGTGGACACCTGTGGTGTTGTGAAGACAGGATTTCTGGGGAGGGGAGGGGGGATGTGATGGGATTATATTCTGATCTGATCACTTTCTGTATAAAAGTTTGTGCAGTTTCTCAATAAATCAGAGTTTGTTTCACCTACACTCAAGCCTTGGCTAGTGACTGGGGAAACTGGGAGCTAAGGATCTTCGGGTTGCAATATCTCCTCAGCAAGGAAGAAGACAGCGGCGGACATACTCATCCTGAGTACGGGGGTCCGTCACAGTAACCCTTTCAGTGGGGCTACCCTGCAGTGATCATTTTGGTCTAGGGGCTCAAATAATAAAATATACTCACCTGGGCCTCCTAATCTTCTTAGCTGCACATTTAGTGCAAAGATGTGCATTAGTGTGCATGTATATGTGCATTGTGAAGATGAAACCTTAGCCAAGGGGGCAGGGAGGATGATATTATCCCAAGATCAATCAGCAGGGAGTGTCTGTTCAAATGTAATGGTGGCTATACACGGCAATTGTTAATAAAAGCCAGACTGTGCATCGGTCATCTAATGTCTCTGTGTGCCTTTACAATAGGTCATGGTAATCAGATACATACAGCTAGCAGAGATGATTAGTGAGGATGAAATTTTCTTGATACATTCCTAGAATGGCTTGCTGCACACGCAGATTATGTCTTTCTGCATCTTGAAATATGTCACACTGTATTTCTAAGAACAGGTTCAGCAGTACATAATGTATGATAGGAGAGAATATGCTGGGAAAAGTAACCAGCAGCTGTGATATTTGCTTCATCTATTGCAGAAAATGAGGAACACCCAGTGCAGACTGTGCTCACTAAAATACATTCCTTTAAAGAACACCACTATCTCCTAAGCCTTAAACCAGAGCTTCTGAACCTGCAGTGCCTGTACTCCGGAGGGGGTGCATCTGATGAGTAAGGAAGGGTACAGTACTACAGCTTATAATTAAAAGGACCTTAACTATACTTTTGGCAATTATTAAATCATATCAAATAGATATTAACCGCTATTTATGGTTGTTTAAACACATAATGTGTGTTTGGAAAACATGGGGTGTACACATTTAGTAGTATAATAATAGATGTGTCCAAATAAAGTTTTTTTTTATAATAGGTGACCGGGGGGAATGTTGTGGTTAATGGCTCTTTTAAAGGACAACTGTACCTTTGTTTAAATGTTCTTAAATAATTCCCCCACCCCCGAGTGTATAGGACATTTGCTTTCCTTGAGCCCCAATCTAGGGATCTTCACTGGGCAACCCTGCCAGGAGTCTTATTCTTGAAAATGGCCGCTTCATAATGCACATGTACTCTCACTGGCAGAACGACAATCCCATAGGAACAAGTGGCACTGTGGCAAACATGCACTGTTCAGCAAAAAGCGGCGTGGCTCTGACTAGGAGCCACAGTCAATGAATATTGCTGGGTTGGGGCTGAAGGTAAGTATTCATACTAGCGGTATGCTCTATAGTGGTGGGGTAGGGGTAATTTTTATTTTTTTCTGTAAATTCTTTATTTAGAACAGCCGCTAAGGAGTACACATACATTTGGACAGTCATCCAAGGGTAATACACAGGGTGCAGTTAACCGAACCTGTACAATACAATATAGTTCAGAAAAATACAAAGTGGCACCCATAGAACCGGGCAATTATTGAAACATAGCAAGGATGTCCATCACCAGACAACTTATGTAGTCAATCCAGAGAATTAGAAGTACTCCTTGGGCTAGTTTTATCTTTTCTACCTATTAAAACCCAATGAATAACAAGGGAACAGACAGAAAGAAAATACATTGCAGAAAAGAAGGAGAAAAATAATTAGGGGGAAGAAGAAAAGGAGAGAAGCAGGGTAAAGGAGAAGAAGAGGAGATACCAAAAGGAAGAAGCAAATAGAAGGCATCAGACTACCAACACACAGGTCTGCCCCTCTCCTCAAGGTAAGACAGCGAGTGGAAGCAGCAATGAGAAATGGGCAACCGCTTCACCAGAGACAGTCCGAACCAGCAAACAGGGTTGGAACTGGTATCCGGACCTAAACCATTCAAGAGGACCACAAAACTACTCGGAGCCAAGAAGGTCCCCATATTACGTGGAGAAGGTAAAGTCCAGCCAATAGTGCCAAGTGTTCCCAAGTTGTCACCTTGTTGCTTAAGAGCCACAGTTAGTTCCTCCATGACACAGTTTTTGGATATTTGTACACCACAGAGTGAGGGAAGGCAGAGAGGTCTGTTTGCAACACAGGGGAATACAAACCTTAGCTGCATTAAGCAAGTGAATCAAACTGCTCTTGTGTATCAGTAGCACCATTTTACGGAAGTCTCATGTTTAACAAATAAATGTGAGCTCCTGTATCTCTCTCTTACAATAACTAGAGGATGTCAGTGACCTCCTGATTTTTCATACCTTCAGCTTTCCTGCTCTCAGCCATTCAATGAGTTGTAGATTGGCAGAGTCATACTGATCTGTATAGTTCAGGAGCAAAAATAGTTCCCTGTACAAAACATAAAGAAGACCAGTAATTAAATTCTATCGTGTCTGTCATATATTAATTCCAACACATAATTACAAAGGGGACGCTACTGTAATCCAAGCTCCCTTCTCTCAACTGGCAATATTGCTATGCACCACCCTGCCATAGAAAACAAGTACTTTGATAGAAAGTGAGCTACTCTATAAATTGTACTTATAGGAAACTTGTTCTGAGAGAAAAAATGTAGGCTACCATTGCTTCTCCTAAATATGCTAACTATCTGGATAGTTCTGAATTCACTACTTTCTGATCTAGTGAACTGGAACAAGCATGCAGCTGCTGAGTCAGAACATATCTGTATACTTGTTAAGGGTCATTGGCTCAGACAGCACTGACGTTAGAGGGTAAGCATGACAACCAGGCAACTAGCATTTTCAGATTAAGTTAATGATGGAGGCCTAATACAATTATTTTAATTTAGATTTCCTTCAAAAGTGTTAATTAGTAATGTTAAGGGGCTATTCACACTTTTGGGGTCTATTTATAAACAATTCACAGTTTGCCCTGCAAATATCTGTGATCATTTGTTTTGGACGAATAATGCCACACAAAAAAAATGTTCTTTGTAGATTTTCTTCAGTTCTAATGTATTGTCATTTAATACTACATTTTGGCCACTAGATGGTGATGAGGAGCATATGAAAAAAAGCTTTTCCTAGGCTCCTCAGCATAAAAAAGTATGCATTTCCTAGGCTCCTCAGCGCCATCTAGTGGCCATAATGCAATATTGTATTATTATACACTTGAACTGGAAAAGATTATGTATTAAGAACATTTTTCGGGGCGTTCGTCACCAAAACAAACATTCCCAGATATTTGCAGGGTGAAGGGCCATGAAAATTGTTTATAAATAGACCTCTATGCGTTGTCTTAACATATGTATTTCAAACTATGGCCTCCCATTTTAAAAAAATGTGCTCCAGTACTTAATACATCGGCAACTTTGGTCCCCCTTCTATACTAGCTTGGGATATCTTTGTATTTTTCTTCCTGTTGGTTATCCCAGGGTCCACCACAGTGAATCCACCTTGGCTTGCACATTCTCCTACTGCCAGCTACTCATTGAGAGAGTTTTTTCATCTGCCGGTGTGACCTGACATTTCTCTGGATGATTTGTCTTGGTGATATGTCCCCATCAAGTCCTTTTTTTGTAAGTGCAGTTTTATCCTTTACATTTATTAAAGTGTTTTTTTCTATTACTGGCTCTATCCAGTGTGCTCTGTGTTTATTGTTGCATGTATATATGGCCTTTGGGTACACAGGGCTTGCAAGAATATTCAGAGCTGCCTTGGCACCAGTAAAGCCCAGTACATTAGAAGGTTTGGCACAGAATGAGAATCTCGTAGTGCAAGGAAATCGGAATGAGCCATTTCAGTGCACACCTGTGCAAGAGTGAAGGTAAAGCTGGATTTTTTTTTTTATAGAGTGGCTCAGTTTGTCTTTAGAATACCCTCCTGTAATTCTCTGTACAGCAAAAAAGGAAGGAGATGCACAATGCAGGAGGAAAACTGATTGGAGGAAAGAGCACAGGTCTGACCTCATCAGTAAGTTATTGCTGCTTCACTATTCAAATCACAAGCTGCAATAGGCCTTGGCCAAGCTGTATTAGTATAAAGGTGACCATACACTTTACAACCATCGCAAGACCTTAGTCTTGCGATGGTTGTAAAGTAATTTAAAAAACGTACGATCTGCCCATCTTGGACAGGCAGATCGTACTTGCGATCATCGGAAGCCCGCCCCCCCTTAGGGGCGGGCTTCCGATGACCGCAATGCTGAACGGGCAGTGTGCGCGTGCGCACACCGGCCCATTCGGCATTTGTCTCCCGAGCATGCTAAAAACCAGCCGAAAATCGTACGATTCTCGGCTGGTTTTCTAGCATGCTCCTTAGACAAAAGACGTGCGTCCGTTTTTTTTTCCATACACTTTGCGATTATCGTACGATCGCGGGATTTCGTGCGATAATCGCACAGTGTATGGGCACCTTAATTGCAATAGAAATGTGAGGTCAGAACTAACAGGGATGTCTGGATTAGGAAACCAGCAGAACCAAATCACAAATTTTGGTGCAGTTAAAGTGATAGTAAACTCAGGAGTTAAATCTTAAAAGCATGCATTCAAGTGCCTTAACTATTAACCAAACTGCAGCTTATTTGAGTATCACTCAGCTGTAGATCCTCAAATCATCTCTGAATTGGTGCTGACACTGTCCTTCCTTCTGGAGGGTGGATACTTTTGTTCTCCATGGTCCCTGTGTGTGTCGTAAAGTAGCCACCAAATCCAAGCTCACTCCCATGATGGACTACAATCTCACATTTAGTTTACTAATTTGTATTGCAATTGTAGTCTATCACAGGAGTGAGCTTGGAGCGGGGGACCATGGGGGAACAAAAGTAGCCACCCTCCAGAAGGAAGGACAGTGTCAGTATGAATTAAGAGATGATTTGAGGATCTACACCTGAGTGATACACAAATAAGATTTTTGTTAATAGGGTGCTTGAATGCACTTTTGAGAGTTATGTCCTGAGTTTAGTATCACTTGAAGATAAATCACTGAACTTAGTTTTCCAGAGAAATATCAGATTCACCCAGTGTGTATCAGACTGCAAAGTGTTTTTTTTTCTCCTTTCTTGTACGAAACACATGCAATCAACAGAAACTAGGAAGCAGCTATTGAAAAACGAAAGCAGATGGTGCAATATCATCGCTGCCTGCAACTGCAAGGCTACACAAAAAAGTACATACCCTTATCTATACACAATGAGAAACACTAACCTTGTAATGTTACAATCTTTCAAGGTGGTTTCAGTTTGGGGGTCAATAGCAAAAGCAGCACCCTTGTTATACTGGGAGATCTGACCACATAAAACAAGGTGACTGTTTTTCTTCATCTGTGCAGAACAGATAAAATATGTTCAGTGTGTTAACTGCAGTGCTAAAAAAAAGAGATTTATGGAGAACAGAACATGAAATCTACATGAATACATTATACTACATTATTTGCACAAGGTGGTGTCCTCAAGAGGCAGTACAACAAGTTGTTGTAAATGGAAACAATAGTAAGTACTCATTATAGATTATATATCTGTAATGTTTGTGAAATGGGTACTAGATTTAATTGCCCAATTTAAGGCTTGATATTTATTATTAGTGCTGCACTATAACTATTCATTACAAGTGCTACAGCACGATGGAGAGTCGGACCACTGCTCTCACAAACAGAGGCCCGGCTCCCCGGCTCCCCCTGCACACTGCTCAATTCAATAGCACTGCTCAGCAAACGTGAACGCTGTTGATTGCAGCAATGTGCAAGGGAGTGTGATGGACCTCTGGAGACTCAGGCCACTGCATTATGTGTGAAAGCAGCAGTCCGACCCCCCAGTGTGCTGCCAGCACAGGGTGTTCATTGGAGCACTTTGTAAGGGAGTGTTATTGACCTTTGGAGACTCAGGCCACTGCATTATGTGTGAAAGCAGCAGTCCGACCCCCCAGTGTGCTGCCAGCACAGGGTGTTCATTGGAGCACTGTGTAAGGGAGGGTGTTGGACCTCTGGAGACTCAGGCCACTGCATTATGTGTGAAAGCAGCAGTCCAACCCCCCAGTGTGCTGCCAGCACAGGGAGTTCATTGGAGCACTGTGTAAGGGAGGGGGTTGGACCTATGGAGACTCAGGCCACTGCATTATTTATTGCTGGATATGCAGCCTGACTGCCTTACAGTAATAAATACAGAGGCTTCCATTGGGCTTTACATTTTCTTCATGTTTTATGATGTCAGTTCATAAATGTATTGGTAACCACTATAGGGTACACCGATCATTATGGCACACAGCACTGTCAGCATGCTTGTTAAACAACTCCAGTGAGAACAAATACGGCACAAGACACCTGAAAAGGAAATTATAGTCCAGGCTGCTACCCAGCCGAAAATGTTTGGCATGCTCATTTGCAATCTTACCATTTTAGTATGTGTTATGGGAAGATAGAACCATTAAACTTTTAACTGAATTCAGAACAATCCAACACATCAAATATGCTGTGCTGTTTTTGTGCAAGAAACTCAGCATGCATATGTAATTAACATTAATGGTAACACATGTACATATAGAAATTCCAATTTGAAAAGAGGGATCAAATTATAACAGGTTCACCTAATTGCCGCCCTCCTGCTTTCACTTATACTCGCCTTCCCACCCTCACCACCCCAGAGTGCTGTGAAACACCTGGAGAGTAGAAGCAGACAGCATTATCAAGGGGCCTCTGTGCAAGACCAGTTTTTGACCCTTTCTGCCCATGCAGCTATTGACCAGGTGAAATACATATTCATTGTGTATGAAATGACAGCTACTAACAAGTGAGCCATGTCTAGGTGACAGTTGGAAGGTTCCCAGCACCCAGTTGAGCCACATCTAACATAAATGGGCCCCTGAGTTCCTGAGGGCCCTTTTTTAGCTGCACAGTTTGCACTATGGGTATGTTCATCCTTGCTGAAAAGCATGTAACTCTGTCCCATGTCCAAGTACTGTCACATGAGGACAGGAAGATAGTCATCCCTCCATGAACTGCAAGTCAACCTGTTTGGATTCACTACGTTGGGTGAACTATTGAGCAGAGCGGTGAATGTAGAGTTGTATACAGGTGAAACTCGAATAATTAGAATATCGTGCAAAAGTAATTGCAGTAAGTGCTGCAAAAGGGGCCCAAACCAAGTACTGAGTACATATGCATGCTTGTACTTTTCAGAGGTCCGATATTGTTCTATGTACAATCCTTGTTTTATTGATTGCATGTAATAATCTACTTTTTTGAGGTTGTGGATTTGGGGTTCTTGGGGTTTTCATGAGCTGTAAGCCATAATCATCACAATGATGACAAATCACGGCTTGAATTATCTTGCTTTGCATGTAATGAGTCTATCTCATATATTAGTTTCACCTCTTAAGTTGCATTAGTGAAATAAATGAACTTTGCACGATATTCTAATTATTCGAGTTTCACCTGTATAAGCAGCAAGATAGGGGTGGGTGAGGTGGGGAAGGGGGGGATTTTAAGTAAACCTGTTGCTTTGCCCTGCATTAGCAAACTTTTAAATACATAAAGCATACATAGATCTACATACCTGACTGATAACGATGTCACTGATTTCTCCACCAACATTATCAAAGTAGATGTCCACACCATTTGGACAGCAGGCTTTTAGCTTGTATGCAAGTCCTGGCAACTTGTAGTTCAAAGCCCCATCAAAACCCAACTCCGAGGTCAAAACTGCACATTTTTCATTTGTTCCGCAGATCCCTATAACACGGGAGCAGCCAAGAAGGCGACCGATCTATGGAGGATTTGAAGAAAGACATAAAATATATCTGTATAGGTATAGAAAACTATTTAGGAGACCAGCACAATGTCAGATGGAACTGTCTAAATTAAAGGCGATTTCTTTAACTGCCACCCAATTTTGGGTTTTGACATTGCTCTGAGACACCAAAAAATACACAAGACAGATAGGTTGCAACAAGGCATGGTCTATTTATAAACAATTTGCAGAAATTGTTGATAAGTATTTATTTCCTATACTCCTCAGCTCCATCTCCTCGCCATAATGCAGCATTACATTACTTTATATTCAACCTGAAAAGAAAATATACTAAAGAAATGTGTTTTTGCCTTTATCCGCACAGAACGAACATTCATAGTGTTTCGCAGGAGGTTTCTAAATACACCCCTTCATCTTCTTTCACAGTAACATATAATTTACCTGCCCAGCCAATGAACCACAAGCACCAGCAGCACCGCTAACCACCAAAGTCTGATTAGCTCCAGGGGTCACATGACCTTGTTCCTTTATACCAAGTAGAGCTGTCAAGCCAGTACTTCCAAGAAGACCCAGGTAATGAGATAGGTGTCCATCCACAAGACTGGGGTCCAGCTGTGTTTAAAAGAAAGAATACAAGTTTCAATATATTAGTGATTTATATTACATCAGAGCTAACTTTTGTGCTGTGTGATGATGTGTTTATTAGTTTTTATTGTTCTTTAAGAATGTTGAGCCAAGAACACACACGGAAACAACTCCCAAAAAAATAAAAATGCTTTGGGTATCTGGAAAATCTCCCCAATGGGCAAAAAGGAATGGAAAAGCAGTTGCAATCCTTTACCACTCTATCCAAAGCTATAAAAATTGCCTGGGGTTCCACTTGTAGATTTAAATAAATAACTACAGCTAATGGATAACCTTACGAAACACAAAGATTACATATAAAATGTAATTAGTACTTTCAGGGGGACTGGGTTGAACAAGAATTACTTTTTTCAGTGAGCTGCCATCCAAGATGCACTTTGTCTGCCAGGGCCAGTTAAAATGTGAGACGATATCCCCAACTTTATACTGGCTACTTCTGCTTTGCTCAACCACTCCAATGCCGTTACTGGAAAGAACTTCAGAGATCTTCCACACCAGAAGGTAACTTCCAGCCGATTCTTCATTCATGCAATAGCGCTAAGGAAAAAAAAAAGGTGGGACCAATAAAGCGCAACATAACAGTGCTTCTCCATGACATCTGCACATTTCTGCATCGATCTTACCAGAGGAAGGAACATAATTTGCATTACAAATAAAGAAACCATCATTGCATACTGTGAGACTTCAGTAATGCCTTGCTCAACCTTCTTGCTCTGGGCAGTGGTGTATTTTGGCACCCCCCCATCTAAAATTGCCCCACCCCTTCCTGTTTAAGACATTTTGCGTAACCTCTTAATCGTTGAATTCATGTGCGGCCACCGCTGTAGGCAGACCTTACAGCAGCCGCTTGTGTTTAAAAATGTAAAGCGCCAGTATCAGCATTTAGTATAAAGAAGGGGGTCAAAATTTCAAGTCCTGAGCTACTAGCCAGGCCTTAAGAGTTACTCGCCACCAGTTGCCCACCTAACCCCTACCCTGCCCCGGCCCTAACTCTCCCCTAAACACACCCTCTTAAATAACCTTATAAATGACACTGTTTTATGCAGAATAAAGTTACAAAAATAAATATTAACAAGAACTTTATCAATATTAGTTCTACCCCCATAGACTTGCATTGAGTTCGAGTTTGAATTCAAACTTTTCCCATGTTCGAAAGTTCGGATTCAAACCGAACACGGGGGTGTTCGGACAATCACTTCTCAAGACAAGCAAATGAGATTCCTTGTCTTGAGCGTTTTGGTGCGCGACAAAATGTCTAGGTGTGAACGGGAGCTTAGAGTTAACAGATTGGCTAATTAATTTTACAGAGAGTCAATGGAAAAACACGAACTCATAAATTTGTCAGATTGGCCCATGGAGTGACCATAAATGAAAAGGGAGAACATTGGCTCTTAGATGTGAAAGATTGGATTATGATGTCTACATAAGATCAGTGGAAGAACCATATATATTTTACATTGACTTACAAACTCTACCAGAAGACACAGAAAACAAGCTCTCATATTTGTTAGAATTCTAAACTAGTTTGTGTGTCTTGGATTTCAGTGTGTATGCAGTAAATAACAAAACGTAACTTATAGCATATCTAAACTCCCCCAAAAATACATTTCAGCTTAATAGGCCTTAGAGTAATTGCCTGTTTCCTAGGCTTTTTTTCCCTTTAATTTCACCTGGTGATCATGCGATTTACACACTGCCTGTCCCTGGCTGGCTATGCTCACTCCTCCACTGTATCTGTGGATGGGGCCATTGCTGGGCTTCAATGTCTGCCTTTTTTCATCTTTATTACACAGAGGATGACTGGATTAGTAGTTTACAGAAGTAGGATAACACTGTTTTTTCTTCCATTTTTTCTCACAGAAGTGACAAGGGCACTGCATTTCTGAATGATCAGGTATTTTCTCTAGTTGCTGAAAATGTTCGTAACCGGAAAAATGGAAACGAGTGCAGCCACCACATCTAAGGACCAGGAAGCTGCAAAATATTACACTTCTGTTCTTGGGTTCAGGTATATATTTTAAAATAAGCATATCACTCTGAATGTGCTATCGGGTGTCACTCTGAATGTGCTACCAGCTTACCAGGTAAGGATCCACAGAAAGGTACAAGGTGTTGGCCAAGACTTGCCCATCTGAGAGCTCTTCTCTGAAATCAGCTTCCTCTAGACGAAAGTTTTCTGGCTTCGGCTCCTTATCAATCCCTTGATGAGAGATTAACATTACTGTAACATTTCACATACAAACTCTGCACCAGAGGAAGATGCTGACACCCTGACAACTGAGTAAAATGATTGCACATCAGCAACACAGGTTGTTCTGACAACCAACTTTTCAGTAGCAAAACACTTTTTTTTATTAATCCCCTTACTAAACTGATTAAAGCGCATAGAAACCCCAAAAAACAATTTAATCAATCCTTAAATGTGGAGTGTGCATTTTTTCTTAAGGCTTCTTTCCTTTATTTTCATCTAGTGATCCGGCCAGTAAGTCTGTTAATTTTCAAATACCTTTAACAGACCAAACGCTACAGGGTTGAGACAAACCATTTAAATACTGACAGGGGTGCTTACAATCAATGGCGTAACAATAGTCATAGCAGCCCATGCAACTGCTATGGGGACTGGGGGTGGAAGGAGGCCCCATGAAGAATTGCAGAAGTTGCTGTTGACCCTGTAACCACTATGACATTTCCAATCAAGGAGAGCTGACATCAGATGTACGGGAGGAGAGAATGCACATGTACAGGAGGAGAGTATGCAGATAGCTCTCCTGCTACCGTATTTGATTTAGATTTTAAGGGGTTGCTTTGGGGCCACTTGAAAATGTGGCTATGGCGCCCCATAATCTATAGTTACGCCCCAGCTGATAATGGTCAGCTTTATTCATTTATGTAAAGTCTTTATGCAAAAAAAGAAAAAAAACTGTTGCTGTAACTGCTTAAAAAGTATAATCTGGAGTTCTGATTTAATTTGTAAGTCAAGTCCATCTAAATCTGCTAGTAGTAGTACACCTAACACTACCCTCCCCACAGGGTGACAATGCTGTATCCAAGGGTGGCTTTATTGCTCCTCCACAGAGTCACCCTGAGACAAAAAGTGTGTTACTAGCCAGGTCACCAGGTGAAAATAAAGGGGGAAAAAAAAAGAAAACAAATGCAGCCACCACCATTGGGTATTGACAAGCTGCAATATGTTACATTTTTGTGTTTGGGTTTAGATACACTTTAACGGCTTTTGCTCACATCAACAGGAATCCAAAAGCAGCTTGAAGCAGGTTCATGCAGCTTGGAATGAGGGAAAACACAGACCAGAATAAAGTCAACTGCAGGTATGTCAGTAAACCTTGAATAATCTCAGACTCAAACTGATCTCAATGAAGGCTGAATGCACCTGAAAGCAAGCCGCATTTACTCATGGACACAAGCTCAAAATTGACTTTGTTACCTTTGGATATAGCCTAATGCATTTTACCTTTTTTATTGTCAATGTTTTGTGCAGGATAACATACGGTAAAGACCAGAGGCAAGTGGCAGATTGCAAATGACTTCATTTACAATGTCTTGGGAGATATCCTTGTGAACCCAACAGTCAGAATGGGATTATACTGGAGCTTTTTTTAATGTGCTCTTAATTCCGTTCAAAGATCGTTTTTTGCACCACCATATCAAAAGTTAGACTTTTGCTTAATTAGGAGATTAATCTTGCAGGAGTTATAGAGATAAGATAAGAAAAATAATAGTGTGGTGAAAGTGAGATTAGTCATCTTGTTGCTGCTGGGCAGCTCAATGTCTATGAGAGACAACACCTAAAGCATTTGTAAAGGAAAAAACGTTTTCCTAATGTTTTATCTCTTTAAAAGTGCTGCAAGTACAGCAAACACCTCTTGATGTGCCATAAATGTACTATACTTCTACCTTCCTCTTTGACAAGACAACACAGCTCTGAATTCCTAAGCATGTGGTGTCAGCCCTGTCTTCTTAATTTCTGATGAATTACAAACTACACAGACCCCTTCTCATCTCCCCCCACACTCTCCTCTCCATAAACTCTCATTGTGCACAGGTAGGGAGGTGCAAGATTTCTGGTAAAATCAACAGGTATTTTTATTACATATA